AACATGGTAATACACAGAAATTACACACATTCACATGTTGTGATATAATATCAGTAAGAAACATTGTAGTACACAGAAATTACACACATTCACATGTTGTGATATACATATTCAAGAACTAAAAACCAGCATAGTATCACTTAATGATGGAAACCAGCACAACGTACTGTTGATGTGGTACATATAATTACAAACATGTAAGATTCATACTTCATCATTCAATGTCTTTGAAATACTTGACAGCTTTCAACCCACTTTAAAAACATATACTTTTTTACACTTTCAAACTTAAGAAACCAACCTTCTCAAAGGTTCTTTTCTCACCCTCCCTCTTCCTGGATTCTTCAGTAATGGGCACCTTCTGGCTAGCTGTCTCGGTGGCATGTTTAGGAGATATCTTCCTTCCAACAGGAGCTTTTAAACTTTCTTCCTAATAAAAAAAATATCTGGATGAGCCAATCAAATTGTGTTGTCATGGAAACTTCTGTACAGTCATAGGAGGGGAGTTGTCATGGACACTTGTAGAATCATAGGAGGGGATTTGTCATGGACACTTGTAGAATCAATAGAAAGTAGCTGTTATTGGAACTTTTGTAGAATAAAGGGAGGGAACTGTCATGGACACTTGTAGAACCAATAGAAAGTAGCTGTTATTGGAACTTTTGTAGAATAAAGGGAGGGAACTGTTATGGACACTTGTAGAATCAATAGAAAGTAGCTGTTATTAGAACACTTGTAGAATAAAGGGAGGGAACTGTCATGGACACTTGTAGAATAAAGGGAGGGAACTGTCATGGACACATGTAGAATAAAGGGAGGGAACTGTCATGAACACTTGTAGAATCAATAGAAAGTAGCTGTTATTGGAACTTTTGTAGAATAAAGGGAGGGAACTGTCATGGACATTTTTGTACAATCACCTAGGGAGTTTCTGTTGGAAACTTTGTAGATTTCAGGGAAGTGAGTTGTCATGGTTCTACAGTTTGCTGACTTCCACACCTTTATCTTTGTTGAGGGTTGATTTTTGAGTTTGGACACAAATTCCTTTTTTTGTTTTTTCTGTGTTTGTTTAGCTGAGTCTAAGATTTGTGCAACATCTGCATTTTTTATTCACATTACTGATATTGATAGGGGAATAATTCGTGAAGTTTATTGATGCCTTTAAACTCTAGGGTATTTCTAGCTATACTGAATTGGACTAATTGGTATGTTGAATAAAATTTGGCAAATAACCATTAATTACAGTAAATTCAAGGTTATCATAGTTTGGATTGTACATTGGTATGGATGAGAAATTACTCAGCAGTGTGACTTAAGAAAAGGATGTTAGCATATAGAGCTCAAAATTTGTCACATACAAAGTGGAAAATTTGTTTGAAGTTAAGCACAAAGCTACACAATGGTTATCAAAACCAGGTTTCTAGTGTTGCAGACATATCTCCGTAGCACTATTTATAAGACTCATGATAATAACCATTGATAAAGTAGTGAATCTGAAGTTTCTAGATTTTTAAGATTTTTTTTCTTTCAGAAAACAAATGAATTGCTATTTTTTTAAATAATCAGCAAAGCCACAAAATAATAACAACTGGCAAGTTTTGCACTAAATATGGCAATATATTATAATTAAATAATTTCATTGTACTTAATAACACTAGGTACTAATAAAATAAGTAATAATTACAGAAAATTCTAGGTTTAAAAATATTTTACATGACAGCCCTCATGAGAAGATCAATGAAGTAATTACTATTCTGGCAACTAACATAGATTAAGACCAAGTTTGATGGTATTCTTTTGAAATGGTGGAGAATACGACTGCACAATGTATATCACTCCAATACTTGGGAGATGATTTAAAAAAATAAACACAAAAATCACTAATTTTGTTTGCTTTTAAGTTTGTAATATTTGAAAATCTAAAATATCAGTAGAAGTCTTGTGTAATTGAAGTTTGCAAAGCATGTGAATTGTAAGAATGATTCTTGTAAAACTATTAAAGTTACTTATTAGGATGTAAAAATTATTGATGTTTAAAAAAAAAGATAAACTAACCTGTCGAAATGGCTGTTTAATGTCTTTTGAAGTGGTAACAGATGATGGTTTTTGTAGAAGAGCATCATCTAGTAACTGCTTAAGTTGATCTGCAGAGTCTTTGGCTTTTGAATGTAATAATCTTAGAGCTTTCACAAATAGTGGATCCATTTCAATGGTGGACATTTTCTGTGGATAAAAAACATACCAAAATCAATAGGTGCTTGCACAGAGCGAAACACAAAGTATACTGATTATGTAACAAAAAGCTGAACAAATATTAAATAGTAGAAAGTGGTAGTTCATCTATAGATTCTTGTTTAGCAAACTTCCAAGTGTTACTGGGCAGTAAAGAGAGATCAAAGAGTTTTATTTAAACATTCACGACTTTACTTTAAGTGTTACACTGGGCAGTAATGAGAGATCAAAGTGTTTTATTTAAACATTCACAACTTTAATTTAAGTGTTACACTGGGCAGTAATGAGAGATCAAAGTGTTTTATTTAAACATTTTCAAGTTTACTGTAAGTGTTAATGAGCAGTAAA